GATAGTCTGTATTTATGAATAATTAATATTCCTAAGTTGTTGATGTCACTTGCAATGAAACAATTTTACCAGTGTAGTGGTCCATAAGTGTATCTTGGATGTTACTGTCATTATCTGCCATGGCAGTACCATATCTTGAATCTACTAGCATGGTGATCTTCTGCCAAATACTACAAATCCTTAGCCTGCAAATCTGAGTCAACTTATCCTTTATGTACCCACTGTGTCACTTGCATACTTCAGCATTCACAAAAAAATATTCTGTTTTTTCTTTTTTTAACTATATTAAATAGTGGGGAGCTAGCCCATTTCTCCAGAAAAATAGAGAAACAAGAATGCATACAGCCACAACCATAACTGAACTAATGTGCTTACAATGGGAACTACCACATATAGTGGTATTCTATATGTTGAACTGTTAGAGGAAAAGTCAGACTAATTACTAATTAGATTGTTTAGTCTGAGTGATAAACTGCTAACAAGGACAATCTTCCTATTACATTATTAGTTATGGAAGAGAATTTGGGCAGATCCATATTATGTTACCTGTGCATAATGCCAACCAAATATGGTATTTTCTACAAAAACAAGATACTATAGCCCTGAGCGCTTTCATCCTCTACTTTTTATTTAGCACTTGCTATATTGCTTTATTGTAAATGAAGGATAAATGCAAATAATTCAAGGTTTGGAACACTGGAACACCTAAATAAGACTATAAAAAGCAGACTAGATGTTCAGCGTAACTGCTATGTACAGAGGGTTTTATTAACAAGATTTCACTATGTCTTGCTTTGAAATACTGCTATTTTAAATTGCTTTTCCCAGATTTCATTAATTGTTACTTGTATAGCAGCATCAAAAGCATAGTGTGTTACAAATCAAAATAAAAAAACATAGAAGCACATTCACTGTATCAATTGTAAGAGATGGAAGGCAGAAAATATGTTAAATACAGTGACAAATGCCAACTTCTCTAGAATTATCAAGGTCAAAAGTATCATAGTCAGTTTGAAAGCACTATATTTTTCCTTCCAGTTCACATCAAGTGATGTGCCTCTAGGTTAGTAACTTTGTAAACCAAATGACTTGATGGTGAGGACAACAGCATTCCTCTATCATCCCACAGAATCTTTTCCATTCTTATTTGCAAATAAGCAGGACATTACAGGGCAACATTTAAATATACACATATATAATTAATTACAATATTATGATTTAAACAACTCCATATTTCTGTTCCAGTATGCTAATACTTTCATTGTTCTGTGTAAAAATTTCACAAATGTTTACTCAAGATTATTTGATTCCTAATAGCATTTTCTAATAACATAGAGTAATAGTTTGCTAAAGATACAGTATTCCAAAATTCAGACCTGCTACCTAAATCTTTTATCCAAGATATTGCTTATGTCTAAATCAATGGAAGTATGTTACTTGTTGACATGTGAATTATAGTGACCTGTCACAGGAATTCATGCTTCATCTTGTCACAGCTGCTTAGCACACATTCTACTTAATTAAAATTTCTTCTCAATCCAGAGAAGGAAATAAAACTGTGAAACACACACAGAGACATATATGGTAGATGTTAATTAACACACATGTTCATGTATGTCTACAAATAGACATAATAAAGAAGAAGCATTAATTATTATCTAACACTAGACTAACATGAACACTTATGGAAAGGAATGTCACCTCTCTTTCTGGGAGCTCAGAGAGAACTAAGCCAGATATCATTCAGTCATATGATTTGGAATGCGTTTATGTGTTTACTTGCATACTGTACTTCAATTCAGATCTGCCCAACACAGGAAAGCAGAATGAATTTCCTATTCTAATGATCCCATTCTCACAGAAACATTTACAAAAGCAGAAGTATTATTCCAGAAGGCAGGAAACGGGATGTTAAAAAAAAAGAAAAAAAGAATCACAAATGTCCCCTTCCAGCTGGCTCTGCTCCATTTTTTTCTTTTGTGGCAGGAAAAGGAAAGATAAAATTATCCCCTCCTTTTCTCCCTGTCAACCTAATACATGTATATGGTAGAGCAAGGGAAGTGAGCGGATGTGAGTGGAGGAAACAGAGGGGCCCTCTGGTCTCACCCATTTCTGGCCATTGCCCAACTTATGCAATTCTATACTTATTACCACAGTGAAATGCAGTTCTCAAAAGTAATGTGATTGTCCATTCTGGCCTTAATTTCTAGTTTCTCAGCTGCATTTAGGACTGAAACTTTTGGCTGCTGCCTTAAACCTCAGCTATAACCTTTTCCTTCCACCTTATTTATGCTAATACATAGCAGACTGTGGCCTTCTAAGTGACATGTTCATCATGTTCTTCAAACCTTACAAGAATAGATGGATTGACACAACATGCCAAACCAAAATGTGGTTGACTACTTTGTGGCTAATGTACTGTGCGAACCAGAAAACTGGTTTAATTAGTTATACCATGGTTAAGTAAATGATTGGTTAACATATTGTATGAAAATAATCAATGTATCCCTGGTTCCCCAGATCCTGAACTATTTTTTTCTAATAATGTTATTGATAGTTGCTTATTCTGTATACTTATATTTATTCTGTTTACAATCTGTTATTCTTTGTAGTACTTAACTTGAATGTTCTAGCAGTAAGATTCTGATGTAAAAACGTTGATTTATACTTTATATATTTGAATAATATACACTTTTCCTATGCAGGTGCTAAAAGGAAGCAATATTTGGGGATTCCCAACCAGATTGAAGGTTATGGGTTCAGCCAATATATGCTTCCAACTCATTTTTCAGATATAATATCTTGCTAGCAGCAGTAAGTTGTCCAAAACAATAAAAACTGAAAATATTTCACTAGCATTTTGAGTAAGTCCAGAGGGTAAGAGGAGGTACAGCCATCAGCAGAAGCAAATTAGATGGTCTTCCACTAATTACATGCCTATGAGTTGCAAATTTTTGAGTCCTTATTCCTAAGTCCATCTACTTTTTTTTAACAATTCCAATTTTGGAGATATAGAAGAAACCTAATTTATTTCTACACCATCATTTCTAAAACTGATTGCAGTTTTATCCCGACTTACTCTTCAGGACAAGAGAAGTGCTTTTTTTCTCCTTCATGTTACTCTTACAACAAGGGATCCAGGAATCCACTTCATGGCCATATGGGGAGTTTGAGTCCAGGTTTCCTAAGAAACTATCTAGTACATCATTTTATCTTTTTATGTCATGATTTCTTTACAGGTGGAGGAAATATGAACTATAATATTCTTCATGTTAAATAAAAGACAGTGAAACCAAAGCACCCGTTGAACATTTTCATTTTAAATTTTACTAAGTAGTAGAGGTAGTATCTAGTACCTATCATTACTATCAGTCAACCCTTCAGTTCATATACTGCCTTTTCTACATCTTTCTCCTGAAGTGAACAGTTTGGGACTTGGTACAGGGCTATTTCACAATATATTATTACTCTAAAATGGTTCTTCTTTGCTTATTTCTATTTTATCTGATATCAACATGATGTCAGTATCTCATTGTTCTGTTGTCATTTCTCTGTTTTCTCGATTTCCTTTGGGAAATAAACAAACCAAACTTTGGTGGGGGGAAGAAGTACTGCACAGCAATACCATCACTTTCTTAAGACTATTTCCTAGAACATATAGTAAACTTTTACACAGCTGAGCTCAATCACTTAGTGTTTTCATATTTGTGTATATTTATTATTACCTTTCCAATTTCTATACATACAAATTTAGTATTATTGGTCCTGAATACAGCAACCCAGGTGCTGGCTGGCATATGCTGCTCTGAGTCCTGCACTGCCTTCCTACAGGCTTCTAGTTGCAATTCAAAATGCCGGTTTTAACCTATAATGCCCTATATGGTTTGGCACTGTTGTAGCTGCAGGACCATTTTTCTCAACTGGATTCAGCTTGCCAGATTTGTATATCATGCAAGAAAGGGCTGATGGTTCCCATTTTCAGGAAGCAAAAGAGGTGGAAGCTTACAGGCTCTGTTTTTCAATTGGGGCCCCTCTGTTATGGAAGAGCTTCTTTCTGGAAATTCAGTTGGCCCCCATCCTACTGGCTACTTAACTAAAACTAAAGTATTTCAAAAAGCCTTTGGAGTTTGAGGTGACACTCCTAGTTTATTGGTCTGTATATGTTGAGCTGATTTTATTTTTAGTTATTGATTTAATTGTTAATGGACATTTTATTGTATTATTGTTTTTATGTTGCATTGTAAACCATCTAGAGTCTTTCTTATTGCAGGGGGTATAAATTTAACAAATAAATATTTGGATGAACACGCAAAGCATATAAATTATCACTTTGTGAGAAAAGCTCAACTAAAAACCATCATAGAATATATTATAACTCTGCCAGGCTTATAAGTATTTTAAGTATTTAAATGTTTTAAAAGGGATGGACCAACAACCAACCTCCTGCCACGCTATACTAAAAAAAAAAAAAGCTCTGGCACTCCATATTTAATTATTTAATCCGTAATAAACTGCCACCGTTGACAATGTATTCCCTCACTAATGAAAACTGGAATTTAACATTTCACCCATAATCATGTAGTCTGGTCTCCGGTCTCTCGTTAACTTCCCCAGTAAGTACACAACCCTGAGCGACCCCTGGGCTTGAACTTCGTTTATGATCTTGAGACTATCCCTTCAGCCTCGCTGATGAGACACAGGGACATTATATACCTAACAATTAAGAGCTCAACGGGGGGGGGGACCTTTTCGCTATTAACCAACTAAGCCGCGCTAGATGTTATCTTATGAAGCATTTCCCAACGGTCAGGAGTCGCTTATACATCCGCACCCACCACACCAGCCCCTCCGCTTAAGACCAGCAGCTCACCTCACGCGGCGGAGGTGCGGAAAGACAAGCCGCAGAAATCGAACGCCCCCATTGGCCGCTCTCCGACGGCGCCTCCCTCCTGGGACGCACGCGCATTTCCTTTTCTCTGCCGAGGCCCCTCCTCATCCTGCGTTTCCTTTCCCTCCTCTCGCTGCCGTCCTCGGACTACGAGTGAGCCGCTGTTGTTGTCAGTACATTTCGTCGCCCGCCGTGGGAGACAGGAAGCGCGAACGTAGTCCGTTGGGCGCGCGGTCCTCGGAACCCAAAGGAAAGCGGTGCGAGCCACGAAACGCAGAGCCGTCGGCTGGTCTGCTTTAGTAGCTTGGGTTGGTGCCTCTTAGCTGAAGAGGCCGGTCTGCAGACCTCTACCGGTGTGGTTGTGGAGGGCGAACGCTGAAGAGGAACTGCCGCTTTCCATGCAGGGAGCGGCGGGCGGGAAGTCGAGGCCGCGACAGAAGGAAGGGCTGCCGCCGTCACCAGTACCGAGAGTAAGTTGCTGAGGGTGGGGTGCGAGACTGAGACCCAGTTTGGCCTTCTCTGGGGCCGCTAAGCTGGCTTTCTGAGGCCTACGGGGGCAGGTGCCGGTAAGGAAGGGAGCAGCTATTGGGGGCGGAGAACGTGAGCTCTCCCCGCTCTCGCCGTCATCCCCGAAGGCCGAACTCCGCGGCGCCGCGAAGGAGCTGCGTCCGTGCGGTTCATGTGTGTTTCTCTCTCTGACATATATACACACCCCTCTCGCGGTCTCCCTTTGCGGTAGACGGGCGAGGCGAGGAAATACGTATGTGTGCGAGACACGGAGAGAGACGGAATATGGGGGGTGTTCTTTGCGTGTGGCTGTAGTGTCCCCGAGGGCATGCAGCGATGGGATGGAGTTCGTTTATTGTTTGTGAAAGAAAATGAATTATGTGGGTTCAGCATTACAAAAAGCAGACTTAAGAGACATGAATGAGGGGAAGGAGAAATTGAGTTTACCTCTTCTTGTCCCCTTGCCATCGCTAGCGTTTTTCTTTCCATTCTCTTCCCCCAATCCCTGCAGTCCGAGGAACAGCGTTCTTGCCCCCCCCTTCCCCCAACTGCTCTGCATTCGTCAGGCTTAGGTGGCAGATAAGAAATTCATACACTCGAGCTGCATATCTGTTTGGGTGATGACAGTGCATCTTATTTCTGCAAGCTGGATACAGAGCCAACAGGTTTCTTCAGAGTGAGCTTAGTAGTCTTTCTTTTTCTGGTGGTGCACAGAGCTCTCTTCTGTGGAAGTGCTTACATAGCGTTGTCATGCCAAAAGCACATTATGGCTTGATGATCTCTTTGGCAAACAGCCATTTTTCTAAGCTGCATCAATTTATGCTTTATTTGCCAGTCTTTGACACAGGCATCAAACCTGTGGAACGTTTTTGTTTGTTTGTTTGTTCCCTTTCTTCCACTTAGTATTAATTGAAGCAGATAGATGAAAAGGCATAAAATAGCTTTTTTATTGCTTAGAGTGAATATATCTCTCATAGGTTTAAAAGAAAATTATAATATTAACTGAAAAGTAATCATTTAACATGATTTAGTATCAAATTCTTTTATTAGTGTGCAGAGTGCAATGAATTGTGTATATATTAAAGTCTCATTCTTTGAATATATGCTTGAAATACCTCTTGAAATAGAAACCTCTTATAGCTTAGATTTTGAAGCTTATTTTCTCTTTTAGAGGTTAAAAAGCATTTATTTCACACAAAGGTAGATAACTATGGCTCTCCTACAGTTGGCTAATATAGATATGAATCCTTTCCAAAGGATATGAGACAACTGTTTAAAGCCTGCCCTCTAGTGCAACCACACTTATTCATTTAAGATTATTTTTATGTATCCTTTATGGGAAATCACAGGAGTCAACATTTGATGTAAGGAAGTGGGACAAACGGAGGGTTTAACAGAGTACATTTGGTTCCTGAAACAGTTAAATCTGCTTGGAAAATATTCTTTTAGGAATGTATTGTTTAGTCTCAGAACAAAAAATAATTACATAGTTGAAACAAAATTTGGCTTTTTTTGTTACTGCCAGCAGTAGGGATTAAGTTGCATGACCTTTCACATTGATAACTTCTTATGAGAAATACACAGTTTGGCTTAGCTTATTTAAATAGTATAATTGGGAGCTATTTAAAAGACCTGACTGGACGTAAGAGCATTTTGTACAATGCCTAATTTCCTGGAGTATGTAATGAATATATATATATTGAACTAGAGGAATTCAAACTGATTAACTACTGTAATGAAATCTATACAGCTGGAAAGGTTCTATGTATTTGCCCTGTACTATATATAATTATAATGTTTTGGATTTTTTAAAAATAGAAAATTTAGACTCAGAATTAATTTGGTCATTGTTAAGAGCATTTACTGAAATATCTAGGTGACCAGATGATATAAGAGTACTTTATTGAATAGGATAGACATTTTTTTATTACTCAGTGATAGTAGTCTCTTATTCAGAGAACACTTTTGACAAGTTGGTCTAACTTCATTTAACTCATCAACTTGCACCTCTAGTCCTCTGGCACACTGGCAACATTTTCTGGATGCCATTTCAGCTGCATGCTCCTTAATACAGTCACTCCTTAATATGTCACTTTCATATATTTTCTGTTCTCTTTTACACAGACATCAGATAGATAGAGCATTTATTTTGATCATTCTTGCTTGACAAATTCTTTGTACAATATTGTTTTCCCATTGTATTGTCCCTGCTGTTCTAGAATTGAATTTATTTAGGTTTATTAGATTATTGCAAGAGTGAGGCATTTTCTGAGATCTACTTGGTCTCCTCTGAGCATGCCATAATGTATTACTTTGTTTCCTTTACTTGATATACTCAGTATTTCACTGAAGTGGCCTCCTGTTCCCCTCCTTCAAACAATTCCCCTACATATACAAGAGAATAATATCCTTAACCTGCATTTTAATATGGTTTCATTGGTGTGCTATGTAGTTTATAGAAGTATTTTAATCAACTGGAAATAAAGCAGTTTTGAAAATAATTAATCTAATATAGAATAATATACTTGTATTAAATATTACATTTATTAAATTTAAATATTAATTTCATTTAATATAGAACAATACACTTTCGGTTTGGTGCAGTGGTTAAGGCATCAGGTTAGAAACTGGGAGACCACAAGTTTTAATCCTGCCTTAGACACAAAGCCAGCTGGGTGACCTTGGGCCAGTCACTCTCTCTCAGCCCTAGGAAGGAG